AATTTAAAAAAAATGATAAATAAATTGTCTAATTCTCAATATTTTAAACGGGGTCTGGAACAGCTACTACTTCGCCCCCACCCGCTGCCGACCGGCTCTGTTCTTACACAAGACACTTAAAAAACCGCAGAACTTTTCGGCCCGGAAGCTGCAAGGTATGTACGGCCCAGTTTGCGTACGAATGTGGCATGCAGTGTCTTTTGTATATAATAGTTGTAATAACTTATCCCTAATTGTTAGCATTTCGTGTATTAATATAATTTATTTCGACAATTCTAATTTTAGCTCTGAGGTTCGATACGCGATTGAAACTATCATTAGCAAAATAAATTGCTGATCCCAGCCGTCTTTTATTTACCATACTTTAAAGAAACATTTAAGAATTTTATATTTATACTCACTGCCTCAGTTTATAGATTTCTGCCTCTTTCTTCATTAATGCTTATGTTACACAAAGCCTCTTTCTTGCCAGGCTCAATCCACACAATATATGTGGCGTTTAAGCCATGCTGCTCCCCACAACACGTATCTTAGTCTTATTGAGACTCAAAAATTCACTTTTACAATATTCAAAATTGTGGGATTTTATAGTACCATCCTCTTGAGTGTCCTCGCTGGCTACTAGGGCAATACATTTAGATTGGATTATTTCCGCAAGTGCAGATCGTTTTTTTCTTAGGTGGAAGGAATTTTATTGTCAGGAGAGGCAAGCAGAAAATGTTTTATAGTGACAATGTAGAAACATTTAAAGGTGCAAAAATGCATGTATCTTATTGAACAGGCAAAGAAAATAAATGTATACCTGATAAGGAGAATTTTTCTATTCGATTACACCACAGAATGGAGGTACATGCCTCTATGCGCCACAGCATGCTCCGTATCATCGAGTTCAAGAACGGGGGATCAGATCAGTTGAAAATTTATTAGATAAAGCCACTGCTATGAAAGTATGAAGTAGAGAAGTTTTATACCCTTTCAACTGAGAGAACCATTAAATTCCAAACCTCTACCAACTTGCAGACAATTCTGATTAAGCATTAACACTATTTTATTCTAGAAAAGCCTTTACACATCTTGGCACTTTCTCCTGTCCCTACCAACATTACTGAAAGTTGGTTTGTTTCAGGCCATTTAGGCACAAATGAATTTATTTTGGAAAAGGTCTTATGAGTATTTGAACTCCAAACCAGGGCAAACGAAGCTTGGGCAGCTTGGTAATCAGATGGCATGCCTCATCCGACTATTGAGTAATCAGAATTTGTCAAACGTGCTTCACTGTTCCTCGGCCTCCTTCAATATATTGAACATCAAATTTAAGTGTAGTTTTAACCACTTTGAAATTACACCTACACGAGTCTACCAGCGCAGCGCCTGGTGTATAACGTGCCTGTCTGCGCCAGAAGGGGGGGGGGGGAGTTCAGTTCCAGACAGGGAGAGAGTTCGAGTTCCTGCACATAATGTGTGAGCGCTTGGCGGGCACCCATCCAGCAGAAGCTAGGCGTGAGGGGGCTGCGTGATAGCCCAGCGTGAGGCGACGCGAGCCCGTCTGAGCTTCGGGTCTCAGAGGCCTGGCACGGACCAAGCCGGGGAGCGCCCAGAGGTGACGACTTCGTGGGAGCGGAAGGGTCACCTCCCCCCCCCCCACACACACACACACTGTTCGTCCACAATAACAAAGCGCCTCGCGCAAAAGGCGGGTGGTCGCTCCTCCTCTGGAAGGCGGCCGCTCCGCCAGGGTGGCGGCCAGCGCACCCCACACCGCACCCGCGGCGACCGGGCCTCCCCCGAACGGCGGCTCCCCCGTTTTCCCGAACGACTCCAGCCTTCTCGCTTGCAACGCGACCTTCACTCGTGCCAGGAGAGACTGGCGAGAACCACCAAGAGAGGCACAGGCCACACCGCCGGCCCAGTGCCTTTTCGTAGAGCGGTCTCCGTGCTCATGATCAGAGTTCATAGTATAACGCAATGCGCAATGCACTGTCTTCGGTACATACGTGGGTGAATTAAGTGCGCTACCTTTTCTTCGACGAGCAGCCACTAAACGGGTTGTCGCCGCTTATAGTCCTTGTGAATCTGTCATCGGCGAATACTACAGTGCGGTACGAGCAGACACTTCTCACACCCCGAGACCGTGTATGCCGCACGCGCACTCCTGCCAGGGCCCACCTAGGGCCAGGTCTGTGGCCAGCTGCTGGACAGACTCTCGACCTGCGAACTGTGTGGGACGCCTGAATTCCCGCTTCTCCCGGGAGAGGAGCTGCCCTGAGGTTCACGCATGCCGCAGCCACACAGCATCAGGTATTCGGCAACGCCGTGTGCCCATGGACAAACGTTCACTACGTCACCATCACGGTGAGAAGTAAAATCGACGTAGCAACATCCATTTCGTATATTCATTGTATTTCATCTTGTTTCATTCACATTTCATCTCATTTCACTTAGCATAGCATCTAAAGAGTACAATTTTACGAAATCATTAAATCCCTACGAATATTTTTCGGTCTATTGAGCTTTTTGCAAGGTTTGCTTCACTATGTAAAAGAAAATGAAAGCTTAAAACCCTAATTACATCCTAAGAGTAAGCGCGTTAAAGAGTGACTAGATGGATTCAAAGTCAAATGGGAGAATGAATCTAGCACCCAATTAGCTTTCTTTCCCAAAATTTACTTAAACTACCAAATTCCCTCCTCCCTACGCACATGTAAAATGTAATCTTTGCGGCGGCTATGCTGTGCACTACTCCTACGTCAACTCCACATTACAGAAATTACGTTTTTCTATTGCACACATTAAGACGTTTTTAATTTACACATTTTTTGCATTTTTTACAAGATTTTATTTATATATTATTGTGTACTTACTGTTACGTTGAGAAAAGTAAGGAAAACTAATTTTGAATTATATTACAATATTAAGAAGGAAATCAGTTTTACTTAATTTTGATTCTGGGACCGAGCATTCCAAGAGTACAAAAAACCTCAAATTTATTGAACTTCGCTACTTATGCTCAGAAAATTGCTCTGTGCTGAATAAAATAAATAGGGAGACCACTAAAGTTTGTCTTGGAACAAGTTGGAGCAGTCCATCTTTGGAAGCTTAAATACTTAATACAGCGTTATGGTGCAAAATTTGCACAAAAATTGTTAAAAACAATTTAAAAAGTAAATGCCAACTATTCCACTTCAATTTTGTCAAAAAATATTTGTTCACGAATCTAATTTGACCACCCTTACTACTTAGGTTAAATAGACCTGATAATCATCCACTTTTCCTACAGAGTACGATAGGCAGTAATTACAGTATTATGAGATATAAACAAATCATTTTTACAATTCATGCAGTGCGTGGAAACTCGAAAGTTCAGTTGCATCTGCACTGGTAGAAATCGTGAAAAAATGTTTAAGTAAACACTTTCTACATTGTTCCCGCAAAATCTTTCAAAGAATTTAATTGAAAATTAAGTAATTTGGGAATTCCATTGAGTGATATTTTCGAATGTAATTAACGATATGCAACAGCTTTCTCCACAAACATTTGAAACAATCACGATGGCACATTTCAGACTTGCGTCATTCCATTAAAGTTATCAAAGTAAATTCACACCAGAACATCTCACATTTTAACACCTCGTAAATCTCACCGTGCCGTGTGATAAATAGTAAAAAACTAAGGTCTTAGATTTAGAGTATCCTATGCTGCATCGAATTCAGTCTTAAAACTACGAAGATTTAGATTTCAATACATTCCTCGTCACACAGTGAAGAAACGTTTTGGTAGTAGAGGCATTTCCTTCACTAGCACAATACTCTCATAAAATATAATAATCGATCAGGCGATTATGTTAGTAATATCTCGCTTCTTCTGAAAACCTTCACATAACTATCTCTAGCATGACTTGAGAATTCTTCATAGCAATAGGTTAAGAGTTTTCGGTGCACAAACGGTTCAATTTGAATTAAATTCACAGATTCACTATTTGTATTTCAAACTGTTTAATTTACAGAGTTTGAAATACAAATCACATACGCAAACATGTTGACTGGTTGGCTGCAGATGTGTAGCCATTTAATATCGAGGCTAAGAGCGCGAAGAGTAATCTTGCCGAAATAAAACTCGTCGTCACAGACCTTTCGTTGGCTTCAACAGGGAGCGGAATTCGGCGTGGCCTCGCCTCTTGCTGGTGCCCACATTCTTAGATCGGGACACAGCACTAAGCTCGCATTCGAGAAGGAAGAACACCTCATTTCCATCATGGCTTACCATATCAACCAATCGAGTCGCTGTGTAGTTTCATTGCGCGGATCTGTAAGGAAAACATACGTCTTTACCCTTGTTACAAATATGTTGTCTACTCTTCAATATTGCTACTTTTTACTATTATTTAATCATCCAATACCCTTTAATATTACTCTTAGAGGTTGGCATCATTAATGAAAATTTATATGAAGTCTCCTACTTATTCGCAGACAATATGGTCTTAATATCAAAAACCGATACATAACGAAGCCATGAAGTGGCAACTCAGAACGACCTGACCGTAAACAGTTTTGATGGGGATTCGGAAAGGAGGCAAAATAACCGGAAACTAAACTTTAGCAATGGAAAGTGAAATACTAAAAACTGTCGGCAGGTTCAAAAATCTAGGCATCCTTACAGAAAATATGACTGTCCATTAGTCGTCACGTTCAAGAGCAAAGTGCAGCAGTTATCGCGATAAATCAAATTAATATTACAAAACTATCAAAACCGCATTGGAACTATTTCACGCAAAGATTCTCCTAATAATGACCTACGAAATTTAAGCAATATGGCCCCATCTGAAAAGGATCTACCGGTCTAAGCAATCAAGACCACCTATCTGAAAAAACTGTCAAACTACATTCTTGGATTAATATATGCCCTGACAAAGTTTTCTAATAGAAAACCAGGTTTAATTTCTCTTCACCGAGGCACGCGGCTGCGATGTCCGAGAGGATAGTTAAAAGGACCTAAAACTAATTCTAATGCTCGGCAGCCATGATACTCGGAAGCTGGATGGAACTCAACAAATGTGTCATGCCTACACGAGGCTGCCACGGTCCATGGCTACCACCAGCGGCGTAACGCTGGGACACGCAATGCGTGCGCGCCCAAGTACAAATTCGCGTGCGCGCCCAAGTACAAATTCGCGTGCGCGCCCAAGTACAAATTCGCGTGCGGGCCCAAGTACAAATTCGCGTGCGGGCCCAAGTACAAATTCGCGTGCGGGCCCGCACTCACTGTCGTTACGCTACTGGCTACAACTACCAGAATACTTCCATGAAGCCGTCAGTGAACGTGTGCAAACTATGAAAATCCAAGTCCACACGATGGTGTGTTTTGTATATTTTAGTAGAAAGTGATAGGGGGTCGATGAAAATTCTTTTAAATGGTGTCAATACTGGAAAATGTGTGGGAACCCCTGGTTTAAGCTTTAGCAACTAGACTGACAAGCAGACCAACTTAGCCGTCTAACGTTTTCGCTATCAAAGCCCTATAAAACCCTGAATACACGCCGTATTAGAGAAATGAATTTACAGCACAAGACCAAAACTTCTATTCAATTTTTCAATATATCTTATTATATAAATGAAATTATAAAGCAAATTAGAATGCAACCTGCTCTATTATGTGTCACGAAAACAAATGTGTTTGTTTACTTGCGTTATTTCTATATACTTTTCCAAAAGTATCTTTAAAAGTGTGTTTCAGAACTTAATTTATTCAGATACCTCGAAAGTAATTTTCATTTTTAAGTTCTTACCCTTACTTCGTAGGAAGAGAAAGTATAGTAATCGTGCGCCGGAAAATTGCGAACTTTCGACAAAATTATTGCTATCCCTTGGTATTGAAAAAGTGGCTAAACCTTGTTTGTATATAGAGTAAATTACTTCCTCTAATATGCGGTACGGTCAGAACCCATGTTTTATTCTTGAAATTTTAAAACCGCCTTCACTCAGAATGCACAAACATGACATTAGTTCATGGTCAAGAAATTATCACCAGTGTCAATCACGCACATTCAAAGAACGAAATGTCCTTGCTCCAGCTGTTTCATCAGTTTTTCTTAGCTTTCGTTTTGGTCTAAAAGTTGTCTTGGTGGGGGGGGAGTTATTGGGTAAGAAGAGCGGCGTCTTGAGAAGACATACTGTTGCAGTACATTTACGCTTTATTTCAAACAAATGTTTCACTCAATTTTTTTCATAGAGACGTATAGCGGCTAATTTAAATTAAAAATACATTGTTCTGAATGGAAAAAAAACAGTTCCTCAAATCGGTGTCGCGACAGTTACCCTCAACTCCATTTCCCCGTCTGAGTGCCTTTGGGTAAAAAAAAATTTTAAAAATGAAAATTTCTTCAATTTTCTCCACATAGGAAAACATTTTGTTTTAATTTAAAACAAATTCGCGAAACCTTTAAGTAGCAATGCCGACAAAATTTGCTCACATTTTTTAGGGCCTACCCTTTTGCTAGATGCGAGTATGATTATTTATATGGTAGGACTATCTTAAAATATATCTTTGTAAACGGTTTTCATTAGAGGAAAATGTACTAACCAGATATAGTTAACTCTTGCAAATTGTATTCATAATTCAAATTTCAGTAAAGGACTAGGGATTAGAGATTCCGGAGATCGAGAAAGCGTGCGTAATTAGTACGTCGTACCACACCCCAGTAGACGCCTTTCCACGCATCAGAATAGTTAAGTTATGGTTAGTGCTACCACGTTCATAAAATTCTCTGCAAATCTCACTAGCTTTCTATTCACGATTCTAGACTGCTATAAAACTAAAGTACACTAGTTGTACAAAATCACACTTCAAGTAAACATACTACGCAGATCTCCATTTCTCGTAGAAAACGGAGGAACGACGCTCTGGTGTCATCGAAACGAACTAAAAAAACAGGACAAACAATAGATTTTTAGAGTATCAACTTCCGTAGACTCAAAATTAAATAAGTCTCCACTTAAATGCGTCATGTCTATTAACGTAATATAATTTTTTTAAACCAGTATAAACAATTTTATTTATTTTACGTCAAAACAAACTAACTTGCTACGGGGAGAAGTTCTTAATACAAGGATCCTACCCTAAGTCTTTTACAAGTTGAATTTTGAAAGCGAAATGGGTGATTTTGGCAAGAATGTTTTTCAAAGTATTCGCTCTGATGTAATAAATATTTTCAATGGCAAATCGTCTCGAGCTGGGCTCTTGTCCTATGTGAAGGATTACTTTTTGCCGCGATATGGGGGTCGATAATTTGAATAACTATTTTACACTGAACGTAAGACGACTTGCACAAATATGAAGTTGAATTTATGTCCAAAAGAAAAACAAGGGGCCATACGCATTTTCACAAAGGATCTGAGACTTGACGAAAATTCTTATCAATATAGGGTCATTTACAAACAGGCACAATACTTTTTACAGTATTTAGTACAAATGGCAAATACTTTAAATATTGTTAAAATTAAGATTTCCTTTTTGATGCTCGATTTAATATCGTTTAGAAACTGGTGTGCAGCAGAAAATATTTTACTTAGAACAAACTTTTGTATCAAGTTTAATCTTACAATATCTGGCAAAGTGTTGTAATATGTACTTTTACGTGATTTTTATAGTGAGCTGTTGATACAGTCACCTGATTAATATCATTTCTACATCGAGTGTTAGTTCTAGACGTTGGGGTTTGCCCGCCCTTAAGTAATTTAACAAAAATCACCGATTCGTAAATCAAGAGACAATGTAACTAAATATCTTGATTAAAGAATCTTACAAGAATCACGTGGGTGGGATTTGCGTACCATTCGTACAATTCTGTTCTGTAATCAAAGTCTGAGCAACAAGATGCCATTTCCCCAGAATAATATGCCATATCTCAGGCGAGAATGAACATTCGCGAAATATACACGAGCAGTGTGAAGGCTGACAATTTGAATGGATTCTGAAGTTTTACCATAATAAACTGAAGATTAAAATTTAGTGTACGGTACACTCTTAGAGAAGCGTGGCGGCGGGCTTAAGCTCTAATTACTGTACGTGCTCTAATAGAAAGATTAGAATAGTGCTCGCTCGCCCGGATCCAAGTCACGGCCAGGCTCAGGCCTTCGGCCCTCTCGTTCACTATAAACCACCTTTACGTTCCATTTGCAGTTTGAATTGAGAAGCCTAACATTATCTTCGTAAATAGCACACCATTCATTTTCAATTGAATACAGAATTATTTGAAGCGGAAAATGCAATGAAACGCTTCTTTTCAATTACGGATTTATTTTATTTCTATTGTCACCATCACTGCTAATGAATGCTACCACTTATAATTAGTAATTATTAAACAATATTTCTGTTAATTTGGAGCGCGTTCTGGTACCTAAAATTTTATAAATCAAGCACTGGTACTACGTATTCGTGGTAAATACCAACACAGCGCAGACAGTTGCGGTCGGTGCGACCACGGCACTGCCCAATAACTAAATATTAGCTTAGCATTTCACGCCACTCGCAGGCTACACGGCAAATATTTTTTACCATTTTACGTAATTTTCAAACATCAAGTAATTAAATACTGAATTCAACTAAACGATTTTTCACTTTTAAACAAAAGAGGCTGAACTAGTATACGGTACAGCTTACGGAAGTCGTTTAAACCGACACTTCGCGCTGCCCCGGCGGCAACTGCGCAGTTAGAATTCTGGAAGCTTTCTTCAAAAGAGCTTTCTTATAAAAATGAATTGTAACTATGCGGTGTATAGACTCAAGGATGTTAATACTGGACGCAAAGCCGTGCCTCGCCGTGGCTTGGATCCGCGCGAGCGAAGCGAGAAAACTTTCCTTTGAAAGTAAATTGAGTTACAATGCGGCGGGGGCAAAGCATATGAAGGGCGAACCATGAAAATCGCCTATCCTTAATTTCTATCAGAACGCGGAGCGTAATTTGAGGGAGGGCTTAAAGAGATCCCTACCCCGCTTCTGATGATGTACCGTGAACCCTAATTTAACCGCGAAAAAACATTTCATTGAATCTGTCATATCCCGCAGCACATAAGCAAATCAGTTCTACCATATATGAATTGTCCCAAGAGTCAGCATTAATGCGCAAATTCTTCACGTTGATATAGGAAAGTTTTTTTTAATTAAGCAACGAGGTTGTACAAAATTTAGTAGTTTAGTAATCGTAATTTCCTCTTTACCGAAAATTTCAATTAAAAAAAAACAATAGACTGGGACACAGAACCAGGCTCATCAGTATTTCCAAAGAAACTGCTCGGCGTCTATTAATCGCATTTAAGAATAGAATACGAAACCCACCATTGCACAAAAGTAAATAAAAATTGGCAAAAAAACTTTCACCATATTAAACTTACCGGCATGTAAGTAGACGAGAAGAAACTGTAGCACAGACTTCCAATCATGGCGTATCTGTCAATATTTTTATTTTCGTCCAGATGGCTCAGTGAAATTGTGATGAGTACCTACATATGGAAACTTATTTAAAACTCAAATTCTTTACTGTATTAAAAACAATTGCCTCTCGACAACGATTGACCCAGTGCGCACTTCTATGCAAAAGACAGTTAAGAACATCATACGAACCATTCACCCCGGCAGCTGCGTAGTAAATGGACGTTGCTCGGTCGCTCACCGCGCCCCGTAACTCCCCGTAACTCCCCGTAACTCCCCGTAACTCCCCCTTCCTCCCCCTTCAGTCTCGCGCAACAAGCTTCCGTCCTGCCCGAAAGGGCCGGCCTATCGTGTGGCGTTATACCAGCAGGAACCATAGTCAGAGTTCCAAAACATAATTTCGATTCAGGAATCGGTTCGGTTAAACCCGTTTCAGGTCTTCATTAAACATTACACGGTGTAAGATACCGTAATATTTCTTACACCGTGACATTTATCATCTTAAATTCAACGTCGTTCTATTGTAACACCCCACATTCGACTTAAAATATTGAACATTTTTTATCATAAGGGGTAATTAACGTTAAGTTAGCATACCCACACAAGAAAAACGCATGAAACAAAAAAGCTGAATGTACCATAATTTTGTTCTAATTATGAACTAATTTATTCCCAAATTTAAACATTTTGAAGCGATGTGCAACTCCAATTTTTTCTTTAAATTTATTGTAAGAATAGAGTAATATACGCTTACAAACGTTCGATTTTCACGAATTTAACTCTAAATTTTCGAAAATTTCAAAAGTATATTTTTTTCGGTGTCTTCCTACAACTACAAAATTAAAGATGGAGATTTGTCCTTCAAATAAAGTTTGTTCTCCATAGTAAGTTCTTCCATTAAGACCATGTAGAAAGTTATGTAATGCTGCGGAAAATCGCCTTCGAGATTTCAACGGAAATACACGTTTTGGAAGCCTCTGATACCGAAAAGTTGTTTTGTTTTTTTCAGCGTCCATATGTCCGTCTGTCTTTCCGTCTGTAGCGCTAGCGTCTAAACCATACGTAGGTTTTTTTTTTCAAAATGGATATTCCCAATCGATTAGCCTCAACTCGAGGCGCTGCGAATTTGAAAATCTTTCTTCGGAATTTAGGGGTACTTCACACGAAGGCCCCTGTACATTATCAAATTTTCTCAAAAATCGTTCCAAAATTTTTCCTTCAATTTCTTGTAAAAATAGAGTAAGGTACACTTATAAAAGTGGCATAGGTCCGATTTTCACGATTAACTCTAAATTTTCGAAAATTTTGAAAGTTTGAATTTTTCCGCGTCTTCCTACAACTACAAAATTGAAGATAAAGACTTTTCCTTCAAAGAAAATTTCTTCTCCATAATAAGTACTTTCATTAACGTCATTTTTTTGGTACTTTTGGTCCAACTTTTGGTAATTGTAACGCAATATTGCGTGTAATATTTGCATTGTTTTAAAATTACAAAAACAAGATTTTCACGAGAAAGGGCTCCAACTTTTTTAATCTTTAGGTAGGGATAATGCTAAATGACGATATGATATGACACACGATATGATATAAATGCCGTATTTCTCTATTCTTTTGTTGTTTTTAATTTTAAAAAATGTAATGTTTTTGACTTGTCCCTCACGTCGTTAATGTTTACATTAGCGGCAATTTGTTCACATTATTGTTTTGTGAGTACACGTGCTTTAAATAATCTTAATACATTTTAATAAATAAATATATTAATTAATATAAATATATAAATTATATTAATTATATTATATTATTTAATTAAATTATATTATATTAATTATATAAATAATATATAATAAATAAATAATATTAATTTTAATAAATAAATAAAGTTTCTCGAAAACTCAACGGAGCTCATTTTCTGTGAAAATGAGCTCAAAATTCCGGATTTTCAGAAACGCTCCAACGCTCGCCGTTAGCTCAAAAATGACTTTAAATATTTTCTTCAAACTTTTCCAACATGTAGTGCTAATTGCTAATTGCACTGTTTAAAATGACAACATTGATTTTAAGGGTATTCTTTTATTTTATCAAAAATTACGCAAATGATTTTTTTTAAATTATCTCTCACGTTGTTGATATGCGCATTTCCCGCGATTAGTAAACACTATTGTATTTGTGAGTTAGAAAACTTCAAATGACTTTAAATAACTTTTTCGAAAACTCAAAAATGTTCTGTGAAAAAGAGCTTCAAATTTCGAATTTAAAGAAATACTTTAACGCCATTTTCATACAAACAGCTCCAAATTTTGTAATGAAAATTGCCACTTATGACGAGGTTTTACTCTTCTTAAATATTCTTCAAGTAAAATTTCGGTTCTGCAATTAGGAAACCAAAAAATTGTGAAAATGTAAAAAAGTGTACTTGAAGCGGCAATAGATGGCAGTTGAGTAATGTGGCAATGGATGACAGTTGAGTGGAGTATGTGGCAAGACCGTAAAGCCCGTCCACACCAAGGAAATTAGAAAACTTTGCTACTAGAAAGTCTCTGTCATTCGGCAGCACCGCTAGTTTGTCATTTTTACGCATTTTGTTTTCTTTCCTTTTTTGTTACTGCATGTTTCACGAATTTACAATGACACACTAAAACGAAATTTTTATTGCATCATGAGTTCATGATGACATTTACTACTGCAGCGGACTTCATTTTTTGAACTCCAAACATTATGCGTATCTTCGGTTACTTTCTCGATCTTCCAAACTGACGGACGAAAGATCGGGGCTAATGATTACATTCCCTCCTAAAATAAAGTTTTTATATTAAATATAAATTGATATAAATACATTTTATTGAAAATTGTAAAATTCATTGAATACATTATCATATTCATAGCCATTCAGAGTATTTTTTTTAATTAATTAATTTCCCCCTTATTTTTAGGTAATTTTATAGGTGATTTTAAAGAATCCGAGCCCTGATGACGCAGTACCGGAGTCAGATCGTTGGGTTCTGCGAGAGCTAAGGGTGATGAAAACAGCGTGGGCGTGGCGTGACGAGGTCATTACCGGCTTAGGTGGCTCTGGGGATCAATTGATGTCACCGCAGTGCCTCTGGCCGGGTGTTTCTAGGGTCGGAGTACCGGCGATGGCAGGATATTTGACACTAATGAGATTGCTCGGTCGAATTCAGCCGCAGTCTGGATGGTAGTTTTCTGTGCTGGTTTCTTCGATCAATACCAAGCTAATGCCGGAGCAGCATTCTAACAAGTGCACCACGGACCGAGCGCGATCATTCCTTCCTCCTCCTTGCCTTATCCTCGCCCTTACTTCACGACCACACGCGTCAAGAGTTTAGTCCTCCGCCCTACCGGAGCGGTTCCCCGGTGGTGGGAAATATCTGGATAGGGAAAACTTCGCAAGCCGACGTGTAGGTCGGCGCCAGATCTCGCCACCGATGGAGGGGAGATCATCCGTGATAAAAAGTATGCATTACACTTACGGTACCATAGCAGTAGACGTGCCCGGAAACAAAATAATCAATCAACCGAATGTCCAACATGGGGAGTGGTGCGTGGAAGCCTCTGACAGATTTTCCATCTTGTGCGATAGTGGAGGGCATTTAAGTGTGGGTCTGGATAAGGGGAAAGGATGGGACAAGAATGAGGAAGGGAAGATCGCGCAAGGCCTGTGGCCCGTGTGGAGGTACTGTTCCGGTTTTCACGTTATATGGACAGGAGAAACCACGGAAAACTACCGATTACATCAGTCGGCCGCCAGTGAATTTTTTGTGAAGTTAATAGCTGAATTGGACGAAGCTATTTAGCTACCATGTCTCGAACCGTAAGACTTTCCGGTACGTTGTCAGAGACGCGGCAGTGGCGTTAGCTGTTGCCTCGAGCTAACTCAGCCGGTCCGTTTTCTCAATGTAACATATAATTGACGGGGACCTCCTTATTTAAAGACATACAGAAAAGCAAATTATGCATAAGCCAATTATTTTTTTAAAAAAATTTAACTACTAAAAAAACCTTCTACAACATTTTAAAATTTACTATATTTAGTAAAGTCACCCATTCTTCTTGGAGAATTATTTTATTGCAAAATAGCAAATACATTAACATTTCTTGTTAACTTATTCGTAATTGAAAACCTCAATTCATTTATCAAATACAGCTGGGCAAAAGAAAAGTAATTAATTTATGAATAGGTACAACATCCTTAATTATTATCAAAGATTTCAATATGGGTATGTTGATCCTGTAAGATAACAATTGTTATAGTCAACAAATGTGTATGAAAGAGGGTGAAATTAAGAATGGGTAAATTAGAAGAAAAAGGTGAAACTAAAAAAAAAATTATGCTGCATTATTTCTATGAATTTATATGTAAATGTAGGAGAATAAATTAAGGAAGCATTTAAAACAATAAGTCTATCAAAAAAATATAAATATATTTTCTTATCGTCAACTTAGGTTTAGTAGGCTACTACCCTAAGAACTTGATGGAAATACCGCAGCAAGCCCAGTCCCCCATCTCTGTGGGACTATGGTAACTGCAGAACTGTTTGCATTCTGATTTAATTGTCCATTTCTCTGAACACTTATATAGATAGCATCAATAAACCCATTTGGTAAAGATAATGTGGCATTATGTGTAAAGTAAATCCAACTTCTGGGTGGGCTTCAACTGTGATTTCAGGAAGCTCGCCACTCCATCTGGCAATGGATGATTTAGATGGGAAAACATTTCAAATTGAGTAATTCAATCCTAAGAATGTTAAAGCATGACCATTACTCACCAGAGGAGTTCTTTTCCCACCTTTGATGTTGGTGTCCTTTCGAATCAGAATATGTTAGATGTTGAAATTTGAAATGATGTACACTTAGCTATGGACAACGTTGTACTGAGGGCCCCTAAGACTTAAACAATGTCACCCAACTCTAGGCCCCTTATGATATCTTTTGTCAACAGCAAATGTTAAAAGACATTCTTTTTTTCCAAACTAGAATCATTATCCAATTTCACAAGCAAACACTTTAAAACAAGAGTAAGAGTGAAGACAAGGAGTCCATTACCAAATCAGTTAAGGCAACAGGGGTTCCGATATATACACTTTTCTGGGCATGGCGCACCAAAACGCTAAGTGAGTAACTATTTCAAATGCTTTGAATATATCCCTTTTCGCATGAATTTGATCTTCACAATGGATCAACTGAGTTTGACTGTAATGCCTCAAAAAATTCTGCACAACAAATACCCAATCAAAATATGGTGATAGTTACAAGTTTGTTATCCTTACCCTCTATTACATTAA